TTATAATCTAATATCTTTATACTCTCTACTCTACTTAAAGAAACTTAAGAACTATTTCTCCTCCTATGATGAAAGACTAAGTCCTAAGCAAGGACTTAAGTATTCTAAGAATATAGGCGTAAATGATAGAAGTCTAGAACTTGACTATCTACGTTATGTAGGCAACGGCCTAAGAACTATTCTTCTACCATAAATGAAGAGTTGTTATCTATTACACCCGTGCACTTAGTAGGATTCTTAATACTAAAATACAACCAACTAATATAGTCTCAAGACCTCAATCCTACTCATATTGAGAATGTCTGACAACCAATAAAGCAGCACATCAAAGGAATCATTCACTTTCCTGAAATACTTCATGAAATAAGAACTGTAGTTTCAGAGTGTAACAGACTCCAGCTATCAGACTAGAGTTAATATATCAAATATATACCTAAGCTAATTATGGAATTGAGAAACCATATGTCACAAACTGTAACTAAGCAAGGCAGATTTCACATAGCTCGGATTTCCGAGTTATAGGTATGTTGGGATTTCACATGACGCACACTAGTGCGCCATAGGTTATTATGTTTACCTGTTCGTGACTCACAGTTGTGAGTCACATGATGTTATAATTTTCGCACATGACTTATACTTATGAGTCATGGGTTTCACTCAGGTGACGCGAGTTGCGCACCTGATTTGGTTATTATGTTTTGATTGGTTTAGGCATGTTGTACAGCGACTCATAGGAGTCGTCTGATGGATTTCATATGACTTATGGTTATGAGTCACAGGGTTTGTGTGACGCGAGGTGTGAGTCACGCCAGGTGAAGAGCAACTATATAAAGGGTCACTAGGACCCCGAGTATGAGCTCTTCACATGTTCTTCTTGTTTATTTCCTACCTTTAAGTTATTATCAATAAAACCTACCTTTACGCTCTTTAAGATTTATCTTAAGAAACCCAAGAATTGTCTTTCCTCTCACGAGGAAGAAGTAAAGTCCTAAGCGAGGACTAAGGAGAAGACTAAGGAGATAGGCGCGAATAAGATAGTAGTCACAGGACTGGGCTATCGGAGTCGCGTAGGCACAGGCCTGAGAGCTATTGCCTTACACCAAGAGAAGTATCGTTACCTGTCGCTAGGTCCTACTTGGTAGGATTCTTAACACCATATTAGCATTCAAACAGGATGGTAATTTTATAGATTAATTTTTACTGTTTCTATTTCCTATTCTATATTGCTGTTGTCCTCCTTTATCAATTCTTCTTGTATTGTAGTTGTAGAAGTTGTAGTTGAAACATAGCTGGTTCTTTGTTGGGTGTTAGTTTCTTTTGTTACCAAGATTGTTCACAGGTATGGTCATTTTATTCAAGCAGTCCACATGTATTTGTAAGGTATACTCAGTTCGATGAATACTGAGAGCTTTGAATCTTCCTATTTTGGGGATTTCTGTAGCAGTAACAGTACTAGTATAGTACTAGTACCTTGGAATCAATCCTTACAACAACTGAACTTTCCCAACTTTCAGCAGGCAACAACAACATCACATATTATTATTTTCCTTATTCCTTCTGTATAATCCTCCTAAAACATATAAAGAACACATTTACAAAGCATATTTCACTCAAAGGGTATGGTTCTTTCTATAACAGCTGTTAAAGTTGAGGTAAAATTTGGGTGGAGTGAGGAGGTTGGCACTTGTATGTGAAAAGCAGGTTTTTGCTGAGTAATACACTAACACATTGCCTAAAGCAGTATGGTCAGATACTACATTAGGACTAGTGCCTAGACCTGGATGGCACTGAAGGTCGATTCTAAGGTGCTGGCACTATACATGCGCCGTACTTGCATTCTGCTCGGATGCGTAAGCAGAAACCGGGGGACCACAAGTATCATATTTCCACTGATCCCATACCTACCGGTACACATGTATATGGAGACTGGGTTGCCCAATGTTTTCGGAGACCTTAGAGATAGTGTACCGGTATTCCACGAGCAAGCTGAACCCAGCAGTATTGAGAATACCATTGCCTTTACTTGATTGGCCAGCGATCAATTTCTGTCTCGGGTGTCCAGCTTCAGCTCGGCCACGGGAGTCCCATTTTCTACCGTCATCGCTTTGTCAGTCCAATTTTCTGGTAGTCTAAATATTTTCTCTTTGACCCCACGGAGGGGTTCAGGTTGGCCCGCTAACTAAGGGGGTTAAGGTTCACAGCTACTTGTAAAATTATGAAGGTGGGTGAATAGCGTTCGAGAAAAGAAAAGAAAAGAAAGAAAGAGAGAGAGAGAGAGAGAAACTTTGGGAGACTGCACCACTGACGACCCTTTCGGAATCGATACTAGGGTTGCTCATAATACCCTAGGGTACCGGTACTCGAGTACCGTATGTATGATACCATGTAGACCCTGTGAGCGAGTACTGTGGCGATAGTCTAAATTTATCCTTCTTTCTCTCTCACTCTCTATCATACCGGACGGGGGATGAAAATACTTTGCACAGCCCATGATGGGTGGTGATGAGCAATCGAATTGCAAGAGGATAATCTCAATCCGGATCCCGTCCTCTTTTGGGATTCTAGGAGATAAGTTACATACCATACGGTACTCACTCTTTGTTCTGCTGTACTGGGACAAGTGCGAGTACTCTAGCCGCTTTGACGGGTGTCCTTCGGCCTGCCTGCTGTAATTTACCGTACCGCGCTCGTCAAAAGAGGTCGAGAAAAAAAGCAAGATGGAGACTTTTGCTTTGCAGGTGCGGCAGGGTACTTGTCAAAAGACAAATACTGGTAAAGGGAAAGCGACGTCCAGCGGGGGGTATTTTTATTATCACGATATTGTATGATAGTATTATTATTATTATTTTCAATTTCATTTTTAACCTCAAGCGGTACTTGTACACAGTACTCGAGCACGGTACTCGAGCGCAAGCCTCATACTGTGCGATAACAAGCTAGCGCGAAAGGGTGGGGCAGAAGTTGGAAGGACCTCCATTTGCGCATAATTTGGTTATTGGGGATGGGGCCGGCTTGCGCTGATGTGCTGATGTGCTGATGCACACTTGGAGCACAGAGGAGGGTTCGAGTGGGGAAAAAGTAAGCAAGTCTGGGGGGCCCACCGTTCCACGGTTTCCAGTTTCACTTTCTTACAGTACCAGTGCTCGTAAATTTACTTTGGAGCAGCTAAACTGGATGACGGAAGCAAGTGGCAACAAAGATGGCGGTCCGTCGAGTTGGGTGTGCTTCCCTAGTGTGGCCAAGCCCTCCCTGGTTTCCTTCACCCGCATTATTGGTCCAGAAGCCAAAGGTGGGATGGGTGGATGATTAGGGAAGCAGGAGAAAAAATAAAATAAATAAATAAATAAATAAATAGAAGTTGCATGTTTCTTTTCTTTTCTGATCAAACCTCGGTCACTTTGGGGCAGGCGGAGCGAGTGCGGCACCGGTACGAGTACTGGTGGTTCGTGCGTTCGTTTCGTTCGTTTCGCCACCGTAAACACACGTTCTCTTTCACTTGACTTTTTCTTCTCTTCGCCGGGGGGTGTCATCATTTCTCATTCGAATCGTCATAAAGTCTGGGAGGGTGACCATCTTGATGTTTACCGCGCTTTGTTCGTCACCGTGGATTCCATGGATGGAAATATTGGGTTGCGGAGACCGAGGGAGAGCGGAGGAAAAAGGTGCATTGGAGGAGACAAGAGGGTGTGGAAACGTTATTAAAATGGGGGTAAATTCTTGATCCTTCCCATGTTCAGGGTTTTCGCTGGCGATGGACGATCAGAGACTGCGCGATCAGAATACCGGCACTGGTCTGGTGCCTGTATCGATTTTGTCAGCAACCATGTTGTCGTTCGTTGATTAGCGCCGCCAGGAGGAAAAAAGGAAGGAAGAGCAGATGGAAGAAAAAGAAAAAGAAAAAGAAAAAGAAAAAGCCGTCAAGCTGAACAACATGGAGTTAAGGCGAACCGCTATAGTTCGGTACGCTATTTGTACCGTACTAGTACCGTATTGTACTGCACAGCACTCGAAAGTAAGTTGAAGCAAAAAGTGAGAAATTGTGGATGAGGGTGAAAAGGTGAGTGTGTTAGGCGGAAACATTAAATCTGGTTAGAGGTTTACTAATAAGGGAAGTGCGAGCATGGAGGAGGAAATAAACGAGGAGGAACGGGAAAAGAGGAAATGGGAAGAACCAGCCAATACAATCGCCGAACAGCCGTTTGAGCTCGGGTCCGATAGAATTGGCATTACATACTCGAGTACAGGATCTCTGGAAGGACAGGTAAAAAAAATTCTCGATACTCGTACGGATTCATCCACTACCTCGTAGTGTCCGACGGAAGTGGGTGGCGAGGGACTTCAGTCATTAGAGGAGGGGAAAGGATGGAAAATGGATTTGACTGGCTGGATGGGTCATGGGCTCAGATTAGACCATGTTTTCACTGGGCTTTTTTTCATTTCATTCGTCTTCACTCCTTCTTCCTTTCCGTTCGCTTTTCTTGCTTTTCCTTCACTCACCCAGTCGGGCGGGAAAATCCTTGTCATGCAGAAGAACAAGAGGCGTGAGTGGCAGGTGTGGGTTGATGGGCAGAAACAATTGACAGAAAGGGAGCAGAAGCTGCAGATTAGGTGAGCCAAGACATCATCGCAGGATAAATTGATCCTAAAGAGGAAAGGGTTGGTTTGGATGACTGGCTGGGAGAGAGGGGTTGGGGAGGGTGAGGAATGGACTTGAGTGGTTGTATTGGGGGAGTGACACCCCCTCTTCCCTTGTGGTGCCCATCAGCGACCTTGGACGAGGAAGCGCGAAAAGCAGCGAGGCACCCACAGGAGGATGCACCAGCATGAGGTTAGAAGCGGAGAGGAGAGGAGGGAGGAGTTGTATGGAGGGATGGATGAAGGGGTAGATGAGTGTGGTAGGAAGGGGTGGGATGGGCCAATAAACTTGGAAGGTGGAGAAAGAGGAGGGGAAAACTGGGTGACTGGGTGACGTTTTTTTTTTTTTTTTTTTGGCTAGGAATGGTAGTGGCAAGCAGAAGCAGCGGTCAGTGTCAGACTGTCAGTGGGTCGGGGGGCAGATGGTCTACGAGTAGTACCGGCAGTGTACCGCTATGGTGGAGCAGAAGGAGGTTGTGACCAACTGAACTGGGGGGAGGAAAGAGGACTACTCGTACTGTACCGGTATTCGAGATACGGTGGGCATGATCCATTACCGTACTGTTCGCAGGAAGGAGACCGCCACCACAACAGAGCCATGATGTTGCCGGTATCATACCAGTACCATACACTTTCCGAACCAAGCTGCTTTTTTTTTTTCTTTTTTCCCCTCTCTCTTCTCCAGTCCCCCCCCCCCATCGTGTGGTGAAGAAATGGGGAAGAACGAAGGAGTAGAAATCATGGTCGTAGATGGATGGCAGCAGACTATGGTCACAGGCATATCGGGACGAACCAAGAGACCAGATTTGACTAAATTACGGTTGAAAAAAAAAAAGACATGTAAATGTAAACCAAGCCTTTTATTGGCCAGGCCGGACGTTTGGGTACGATCCATCACCATGCTCAAACGGTTAGAAGAGTCAAGTCATCAATTTCTTTTTCTCCCTGCGTTGGAAGAGGGAGTGAATAAAAATAAAAATCTTGACATCTCCGGTCGGTGCTGCTGCTCCGTCCCCATCTCGCGTTCTTTCTTCTCCCTCTTGTTGCCTCACGCCCACAACTGGCCCTTGCGGGTTGTATTGTAACGCAACGCTTCTCTCTCTCTTTCCCCTTCTCCCTCCTCCCTGCCTCTTCCCCCTTCTCCCTTCCCTTCCTTTTCTCTTTCTCCCCCGCTGCCACTCTCTTGTTCGTGCTGGCCCCTGTTCCAATTCGACTTCCTCTTTTCTCATTCACAACCCTTCCTCTCCCTCCCTCCCTCTCTCCCAACCTCTCTCTCAACCTCTCTCCTGCTCTCTCTCCTACTCTCTCTCCCGATCAAAAAAAAACAAAAACAAATCAGAAATAAAAAAGTAAAAGGATTTCCCCTTTCCTTTTTCTTTTTGGTTTCCTCCCTTCTAGCCTTTTTTTCTCTCTGGGGAAAGGAAGAATTAAACAGATTGAAAGATTAGCCATCGGACGGTATTCTTCATTGAATAAGTCTACTTGGTTTGGGTTGTTGGGAGTTGCCCGTAGAGGGAAAAGCTTACACCTTGCGGCGTCGAATCATTGCCCCTGCTGGGATCCGCTTGTGTGTCAACCTTCTTCCTCGAATAATAAAAACCGTTCCACAACCCCCAGCCTCTCACACAACCTCTTCTCCTTCCCACTTGACTGTCGGTTGGAGTATTGAAAGAGATCCCGGGCGGCAGAACAGTAAACAGCAACAACACCCACGGGCACGATCAAGGGTCTCTCTCTCTCTCTCCTGCCGGTAATCAACCATCCCCTCGGACATATTTACGGTTCTCCTGTACGTCTTTTTCCGGGGGCGTCGTCACATTCACGTTGCTGGATACCATCGGCTTTTCTTCGCTCTCAGTCACGACTTTTCTTTGGTTTTGATAATCAGCGCCACGAACATCATCCGCTCCATCTTCATAGATCTCTCCTCAGGATATAGCGAATCGCGGACCTATTAATTTAGCATTTCGTCTTCGCACTCCGGCGCTCGCTCGCACATCCACTTTGCCTTTTCTTGTTTTATTCCTTTTTTTTTTTTTTATACTTCCTCTTCAATTCTGACTTCCTCACCTCGAACGCCTTTTATTTTAACATTAAGAAGCACCACTTGGGGAATTTTAACCTTTTGATATTCGTCGGCGGTTACCTACTTCCTGTTAGTCGTCTTGCGATAAACCTCCGACTCCGAGCTTTTTCGGCTTACGAAAGCCTGCCATTACAGCCACTCGATATTCATTAGCCGCGCCCTTGAATGGGCAATCGAGTTTAATTTTTCAACAGCAGACTTAACTCCGTGTAGCTACGATCCGTCGTAGCTTACGCGTTCCTGGTCTAGGAAGGAGGAAAAAGACTGGTGAGTAGTTGAAAGCAGAAGGCTGCCCTGGGATTATCTAGCTGGATGGTTCGCCTAGCGGGTTTTGAGCGGGAGATGGCTGACCAGATTGTGTTGATTCTTGAAAGACGGCGTGCTCTCGACCGTGCGGCTTCCTTCCATCACCTTGAGACTTCGAATCTTGCCATGCCCTGCATGTTTACTCCACAATCTCGCCTCCCGCTCACTCCTCCTGATTATCTTCCGCCTTATGGCGGCTGTAATGGAGGTGTTCAGCTCAACACTCATCAGTTTGCGATGAACTCGCAGGGGCTGGCTATGTCTGAGAAAGGTGCCATCTATGACCCTAACCTCATGGAATCTTATGGTCGGAAGCAGATGCCTTCGTATTCACATGCCCCTGGGCAATCTTACTCTGTTTCACAACAGCAGGGCAATTATTCCGGCCTACCACCTCCCGGGTTGACCCACCCTGCTGGTCGGTATTTTCCTGTACCGGCGCTGTCGCTGCCGATGCCCGTCCCGTCTGGCCGGCGATTGGAGTTGCCGCCTCTTGAAGAATCCTTTCGCCACAGACAGGAGCCTAGAAAGCAGGAGCAATCTGTTCATCAGCCTGAAGAGAAACCTGTTGGTGGGGTGTCTGCGCACTTGGACTACGATATGGAGGAGATGACGGAATTTGTTGGTGTTATGGCTCAACAACTGTTAGTATTTGAAGATCCCTTTGCTCACGTTATATCTTTTGCTGACTTTACTTGCAGTGTTTATCAACGCTCTGTTTCGGATCGTGCACTGCCTCAGCAATTCCGTAAATTTGTTCTGCAAATTTTGTCCTCAACACGATTGCCAAGTTCCACTATTTTGCTTGGTCTGGTATATCTGCAAAGGCGGATGACCAAACCTATCCCTACCGCTTCACGGCATGATCACGTGTATCGGATGATTACAATCGCTCTTTTGCTCGCAAGCAAGTTTCTAGATGATAACACCTTCCAGAACAAGTCTTGGTCTGAAGTCACAGGCCTCCCTGTGAATGAGCTCAACACTTTGGAGAAGGATTGGCTGAAGGAGATTGGGTGGGATTTGCATGTTGATCCTGAGGGAACGAAAGGGTTCAGTCAGTACACAACAATGTGGGAAACTTGGGTTAGGAAAAATGGGACAAAGGCGGCTATTCCCGCGCTTGCACCCATAAACACCAATATTCGTCACCACAGCCGCACTGAGTCGACGGCATTCTCGCCCTTGTACCCGTCTTCACAGGCCTACCACCCCATGAATGTATTGAATGATCCGGCCTTGCACCTACCTCGTCCTCCGCAATCTCAGCCTGAGGGTTCTTACTGGTACATGAACCCTGGCGAATATTCTCCTCCATCGGCTCCGGAGACTGGCCCGACAACTCCTGAGGGATATGCTTTTGGGTGGTCTGGCGCTTTTTCCTCTCATCACCGATCATCCACGTATCAACTTCCGGCGTTATCAAATTATCACCACTCGCACCGTGCTTGGCCTGGCGGACCTCCTTGTGGCTGTTCTGTTTGCCAGAGACCTGATGGGTACATGATGGCGAACTTTTGCCAACCCGTCACTGCTTGAGTACTTTTTCCCTTGCTTTTTTTTCTTTCTTCCCATTTCGCTCAATTTGCATGGTTTGGTGATTGTTTCAAAAATATTTTTTCCTGGCGAACTTCACTACATAAAAGTTGGTCTTTCTGATCGTCAACCTCTAGAGACAATGGATGCATGCTTTGTTTTCACGTTTCCTGGTTCCCTTTTTGTCTCGGGTTTTTGCTAACTTCGCTATGCTTGTTTTTATATCTGCCGGACATACCTGTACTTTGTTTTCTTTTGTCTTTTGAACTATGTTAAAAGGGAAGATGGGTTGCGTTTTCTTCCTCCTTCAATTCCTTCAAAAGGATGCGACTTTCCCTTCTCATCAGTCTGACTGGGTTCAAGTAGTGTTCAGTATTCATTTGTTTTACGATGGGAAAGGAAAATGGGGCATTAGGGTTGGGGTTTCTCTTTATCGGTAGTGCTATTTTCTCGCTTTTATCTTGTCTGCCCCTTCTTTTGCTTTTCTTTTATTTACGATCATTCTTTTCGTTACTGTTTGGGTGATTTTCTGTATCTTTTTCTTTTTTTAGACGGTGATTCCTATTTTTTTTTCCATTCGACATTTTTGCATCCTGATTTCATCCTAATGTTCCTTTTTGCTATTTCTTTTGTTTTACAATTCTCGTGGCCGGGTTCCTGTCCTTTCACATGACCGTCGGGAATTATCCGGTTGGTGGGTTCGATTGCTTGTTACGATAATGACGCGGTGGTTTTGTTTCTGAATGGGGTGGCTTTTTTACCTTCTTCTCTTCCGACTTTAGTTTTACTTATTCCTTGTGCGCCCGGATTAATAGGTTCTTCCTCGTAACCCGCGGGGTGGACCAAACCAATCTTGGGCTGGAATCGGAGTTGGCAATCTTTTATGGGTCCAGTTTTAGGACACTTGTTGATAAACTATACTTTTTTTTATTTTTCTCCTATGCAGATTCACTCTGTTATTTTTCAGAATGGGAGTGAGAGAGGGAAGCAAGAGAATTGAAATTTCTCACCTACTTGTAGCAGTTTTAACTTTCACTATTTCCATACCTTCATTTGAGATATTTTTTCGTTATATCGTACATAGCCTACCCATGGTATTTAGGTTTGCGTTTTTTTCGCTTCCATCGTATCATACTAGTACTAAGTGTTTGGGGGAGGCGGGTTGGGGGTCGGTGGTTCATGGGATTCGTTTCGACCGATTGTGAAGTCTGGGATTGACCCTATCTTTTTTTAAAAAAAAAGGAAACTTAGGATAGCAGAACGGTGACATCTTGAGAGGAATACACAACGGGTTGTATAAACACATGAGAAGATAAATCTATCGAAAGCTTTCGTAATGTGTCACTGTGGAATCGGGTCAATTTTGGGGGGGAGGTTTGGGTGCTGCTGCATCATGGTTACTGTGCAGTGCAGTTCTCGAGTAGTTGTCATGACATGTTTTCATCTCGTCCCTTCTGGGTTCTTGAGGTGGTTTATGTATTGCTGCGCCATGGCGGAGTGCTGTAGGTTCGGTCTCGGGTCACCCATGGTGTTCTCTGCGAGCGAGCATGGTAACGTAAAGCAAGCCAAGCTCAAGGAGGTCCCCCCTCCTCCCATTCGCACGCACATGCGCCCCACGAGACAACATCCCAACTCCCAAATCGTGCGATGAACACCACTTCTGAAAACCAAGAATCAGACCCGATAGGTTATGCGAAGGAAAGGGATCGCTAGATCCCGTGCGTTCCAATTCATTCATTCACACTCGATTCACCCGTTGATTCATGTAGCATGAAATCCACCGTAGCGTGCCGTAACCTTCTCCTCCGCCCTCAGTCACTGTACCGATGGTCTGTCTGGACAAAATCGCGCAAACGATATCGCGCCCCATCCCCCAATATTTTACCCCCGCTTTGCGTTGCGTTGTGCTGTATGTATGTATGTATGCAGGTATGCATGTATGTATTTGGGTGTGTTTTTATTTTCCCTGGATTGGGAGCGGGGATGAATGAATGAATGGGTGGATGAATGAAAGCGTCTGGATAAGTTAATGAATGATTTAATGAGTTAGGAGATGGATTGGATTGATGTGATATGATGTGATGGGTGGATAGATGGATGGGATGAGCGCGGGGCGTGATGGAGTGGTATCTGGGGCTGTAGGAGAAGACATTGTGATGCGAGGGGATGAAGAGCGGTACAGTACAGTACCGGTAACTTAGATGACGAGGAGTTGGGATCGGGAGCCGCTGGGCTTGGTGTGTGATGCGGGCGGCGGTTCATAATTTGGTGGAAAAAACGGAGGGTAAATTTTGTTCCGGGAGTGTGGTGGTTGGTTGGCTGGTGGGCTGGTTGGAGGTAAATAGACCGGGTATTTCGTTTTAGTGCACCGTACCTAGCTTTGTGGGATATCTTGCTCGAGTAGTTTGCAGAGGAATGGAAAGGGGGGGGGGTGAGATAGTTCGTTTTAAAGCCCGATTTAGATGCCATGCTCTGGTGGTTAACAGACATGCTAGTCACTTGCCAGTCTGCTGAAATAAGAAGCGGTAATGATAGCTTTAGAGGATGAGACATGTGGTGCATGAACAGATAAGGCCCTATTTGATTGTGCTGGACCCATTCTGGACTGTTCCATTCTGAAATGGTTGGACCAAGAGAAACAGGTGTTGTTCATTTACTACCACTCATTTCCAGCAACTACTCTCAATCCTGTATTGCTAAATAAATTTTTTATCTTAGACCCTTCTGAAGAAAATTTACAAGTTCTGCCAATGCTTATAAAATATAAATCTTCAACACTATACCTACAAAAATTTTGTATTTATACCTTTTAGACTAAGGTTCCTACTCTCAATCTTATTATTACTTGATGTACATGTACTTGGAGAAATTCATCTATATATTAGTGACTAGTTCAACTTAAAGTATGTCCATACTATTGCTTGGGTGGTCTGAAACAGTAAAATTTGCGCCCACATGTAGTAGTCCAAAAGAAGGTGCTTGGCGCTTACAAATAGTGCGAGTGATATCAAATGACTCTGGTCACCCGCCAACCAGTGCATACTGGCAAAGATTAAATACAATACTATAAAAACACGGGAATAATGAACTCACCTGGACTGGTCATGCAGCAGTTTTCAGTGTTTTGAATGGCCCAAGAGGGTGTCCAAAAAAGCTTACTTATATTATCTAGCCCTGTTCACAAGCTTTCCATCAATTAGAACGTCATATGTAGCTGCACGACCAGACCAGATGAGTGTGTTCTGCCCAAGTTCTTATGGTACTTATATTTTCCTGCTGTTTGTGAACACAACTGCTATTGCATGCCACTAAAATCTTGTGACTCCAGCTGATTTTTTTGCCCATATCCAATAGCAGTTGTCTTCACAAATGTCAGGAATTAAGAGTACATAACAGAAAATAAAGCAAAAGATAAGGTAAGGTACAAGGAAACAATGAAATTCCACTAAGTAGGTAGTCTCTTATGTCTGATGTCAAAGCAATTTTAGCAAAGACAAAAACCACATCCCAGTCCCATACAACCATGGCAGGGAGGTGGTGCACGGCATCCTTTTTGCTTCATTTCCCGCAAAGTAAAGTAGCATGCAGTACATTCCAGTCTAGGGACACCAAGGGAGGCGAATTTGTGTTGACTCTGGTTCTCATGCGCAGTAGGAAGGGAGGTATTTTGTTGATGTTGACTAAAGCGGGGGGGTAGTCTTTCTTATATAGTATCACTTCCGTGACTGCTGCCATGTTTGAGTAGCATATCTAGCAATAATTGATTCAGCTAAATTTTCACAAAAACGGCGTAATAAGCTGAGGGGGTAGTAGGTATCAGAGGTAGAAGGCAAATGAAGTAACATAAGATAACAATTGATAACAATTGTGTCCAAAAGCCAGTAGAAGATACGTGGCCAGTTGCATAGACATTTTAACTGTGTAAAATAGTAACCACGATACTGGTCCGCTACCTCAGCTCCTACTTTATAGTGATTGTAGTTATCCATGATTGTAGGAATGGGAATCTTGACTCGTTCCTGACAACAAAAAACCTACCAGATTGCAGGACCATTGCTGCTTGTGTGTCATGGCTTCTTATACTCATAAATACTTCTCTTCTCAGCGGAATGGATAGTACTTAGAAAATGCACTACACGGTTATCATGCCACTGCAGGGCCAGTACCTTTCCTTCTGGATCAGAAGATCCACTACGAACCTCATTCCAAGGTATGTTTTTTCTTTTTTCCTGGAGATTAGGAGGAAACGCTGATCTATTAACTCTTGCAGTTCAACAAGTGCAAATGCCTAGCTCTCTAAGCATTATCATTAGCTGCTGAGAGGTGAAGTAGTTGTCTATATAAACATTAAAATGGAACCTGGAGGTGTAGGGCAAGCTACATGCAAGTTGATATACAATAGATCTAGTAGGAGGAAGATCTTTTTGGAGTACTAGGCCAGTAAAGGAATCTGATCAAGAAGTAAAAACCCTACTGGATATATAGCCAACAGCACAAAGAACAAACACCTTAAAACCCTCTGTGATTGGCTTACTTCGCATACAGTAGGTACATCAGCAAAAATAAAAGCTTGTGTCTTGAGCGTCCTATGTGTCTGTTAGGGGGTAGGTAACTCTAAAGTCAAGCGAGTATATACTAGGCCCAATAATCTTTTGTCTCGGAGATAGTCAAGAAGGCTCGTAAAGATAGAATTAAAGTAGAACGAATATATTGATAAGATCTCTTCTCTGGTCACTGATGATAGAGTTAATAGCTAGGGATTTGTTTCGTTTTTTTTGTTTGACTCATTTTATTATTTGTTTATGGGACAAAAAGGCATATGGAGCGCTAGCTATGACGCCTAAAAAACTGCCCCCCCCTAGACCAGGCCGAACGACAGAGCTAAAAAAACCCTCCGGGGTAGAAAAAACTACTCCCGCTCGAAATCCTTCCCGTAGACCACGAACCAATAACCCCCACCGCCAAGCGACATAAGAAAGCTAACTACCCGACAGTGAACCAAGAACGCGCCTAACCCCAAGAGCGAAACACCTAAAGGCAGAAACCCAAACCGAACCCCTGAGGGCCAATGGCCACAACTCAAATCTATCATAGGAACCCCTAGGCCATATGACGAGGGCCAGGAGGAGGGAGCCGAAGCCCCGGGCGCATAGGGTATAAGGGAAACTACGGCGAAGGCGGCGACGGAGAAGCGAGGGGAGGAGGTGTGTGGCAGGCGTGCCAGTGACTGTGTGCCCTCCGGGACAACCGACGATTGAGGCAGTAAGGTGCGAGCTTGAGAGGAGGTGGTAGTAGGGTACCAGCCGATCCGACCGTGGAGAGGAGCCCTAAGCGAAGCAGGTGTTTTACCGCGTCTCTCATGTAGTCCCTTGTTCTGGGAGAGATAGCGTCACTGTAGTGGAAGGGATCCCACCACCTGCCAGCCAAAGAGGCCCCAAAGAGTAGAGGAGGGGTAGACCCAATTCCGTGAGCGACAACTATCGGTAACCGCGTTCGTGTCCGACTAGGCAGCCCCTTACCGGAGTGAGAGAATGGAGAGATCGACCGTAGCCTGTAAGCTGTTCTCTCCTACTGCAACTGTAGTCCCGGCTGTCTGTTGAAGGTGGAAAAAGGGGGTTGCCGACCGTGCCAACGCCTAAGCGAGACGGGGTAGGAAGAGGGGAAACATCATGAAGATGAGAGGCCTCAACCAAGGATGGAACCGAGGGAATCAAGAAATGAATCAGGACCCGAGGGGAGAGGGGAAGCGAGCCCACCTCCTGTAGCCGAGGCTAGATGGAGGGAGATGGGGGGGGGGGGTGGTGGTGCCAGATGATGAAAGCCACGATAGTAACCATGGTGTTGAGTTTTCAATCGCCGGAGGTGTAGCGGAGACGGAGGATGACTTAATAGCTAGGGAGGCACCTCGCTATTTACATTCCGCGTCTGGGTGGTCGCGGCCTACATTCAATCCCTTACTGACTATGTACCTGCCATACTAACGCTTCAGTGTCTTTGGAGTGTGAACTCCGTTTGACCCTGAAAACTAACTTCCTCGCTCTCTTCCTATGTG